TATAACAAGTTATTTCGATTGCAATAAATTTTTATCCATCTATCTGTATAGATGGAGCTTCGATTTGCGCTAAGTGGCTGGCAGCAACTGGATGCCGAAGTTCGGGCTAAGTGGCGCGCCTTGTGAGAGGCCTATGTCCACGTGGACTGCCAAAGACTGATTATAATTCTGATATAAAATTAGACATCATGTCAATTATGCGTGTTTGAAATTAGTCTCCGCTTAGAACAATTGTAGTGAGTAATGTGGCTTTAGATAAGTCCTTTGTGAAATACCCAGGCAATCAAGTTCGGTCTGACTGTCCAACTAGTCCAGCGACTACATTTAGCATTGAACGAGCGTTTAGTACGTCGAGGTGTCAAGATATGGATCGCCCTACGATGACAAACTTTGTTTTTATTAAATTAAATTTTAAACTAATGTTAATATTATTAGGTTCTTGATTGTTTGACATTTATCAAATATTATATTAGTAGTGTAGTTGTAGCACGAATGTGTCGGCTCGACCGGGGAAGGACTACGCTCTCACAGAATACCAGCGTAAAATAGCAGCTTAACACTGCTGTGTTTCGTATGGTGAACGACGGGTGAAAACGCATCTGCATTTTGCAGATGCGTTTTCACCCGTGAGGACTAAGATGGAATGCCTCTTTTCCAGGAAAAAGGGGCCTCCGCTTCTCTAAACTCACCATACGAAACACAGCAGTGTTAAGCTGCTATTTTACGCTGGTATTCTGTGTGAGCGTAGTCCTTCCCCGGTCGAGCCGACACATTCGTGTTACAACTATACCAGAGATATAGCTGCAGCATGGCTCTACCATGTTTGAAAATATTATTTAATGTTATACAAATGTAAAAGTAAAGTCGATCTGGAATCGTCTAATTAGTAAGAATAGTAAAACAAAAGTGCTCAAAAGGAAAATCAATAGCCAGCTGCGCCGGCGCGGCGCTATACGGCGGTGGATGAACAAAATACTCTATTTATTAGTGAACTTTTTTTTATGCATGAACGCATTCGAACTGCTTCAAGCTAAAATAAACCTTATACGATATCACAATAGCACATGGTACGTCATAGGTCCATTCGGCCAGTAGATAGTAATAAGCCGGCAGCAACCATTTTAAGCAAAATTAAACAATAAGACAAACACATTGTTTTCTTTTTAACAGGAGACTTGTTTTCCACAAACTTGTTTATAATTTGAGTTTGTGAGCGAACGCAATGAGTGCTATTATTTGTTATTTATTAGAGTATTTTTTCACAATATGATTTAAAAAACCCACACAGTAAAAAGAATACCATGCACAAGTTAAAAAAGGTTGACAACCCCTAAAAATTTCAAAATATCCAGAAACGAAGCTGTAGGCATGATCTACTTGCAAAATAATAAATATTTTGTTGTGGATAAATTTTCCAACGCAATTTGAGCGTTATAACAATTTTTAAAAATGACACGACTCGCGTGTCATGCGCCACAGTTATACAACTTTGGATGACATCATGCTTTTAGTTACATTATGACTTATAATAGAAAAAATATTTCTTATCCCAGTAATTTTCCTCCAAGAACAAATGGGTGTAAGGTGCACCCCCTTGCACCTTCCCTCCGGCACCCATGACATATTTACGAACCATTATGAATCTGCTCTACATATATTATTGTTCTATAACAATATAGTATAATTAGTAGACTTGCAACGAATAGTATATTCGGCCACACGCCGAATACCAAATACTCTGCGGAATTCCTGGCCGTATAGTCTAATAAAAAGCAAAAGTATTCGGCCGGGAAGGAAGTAGTGTTTATTCTTCATAGCTGGGATTGTCTACGAGAAGAAAAGGAGTAAACTACTTTTTTATAGGATAGGGTAACAAACGAGCAAACAGTCCACCTGATGATAAGTGGTTGCTGTGACCCATAGACATCTACATTTATCCTCAATGAAGAATCAAAATGCAGATGCGTCGTCACCCGTGAGGACTAAGATGGAATGCCTCTTTTCCAGTAAAATGGGTCTCCGGTTCTCTACACTCACCATACGAAACAGCAGTGTCAAGCTGCAATTTTATGCTGGTATTCTGTGAGAGCGTGGTCTTTCCCCGGTCAAGCCGACCATTTCGTGCAACTATACAACTATACTACTAATATCGCTGCAGCATGGATCTACCACGTATAAAAACTACTGCCTGAAAATGAAGAAAAATTAGTTTTTTTGCACCATTATCTTCCACTTTAATTACGATAATTCGAGTGCATAGACACATACATATATCTGAAAGTTTTTTTTTAATTTTTATAATATGGGAGTACCTATTACTACTTTAATGATTACATGAAAAAAAATATTATAAAATAAATATTTTTATGTTACGTTACGTTTACATTAAGTATTCGGTATTCGGCCGAATAGTACCCAGATATTCGGTATTCGACCATATAGAGTAAAATTAGCTTAATAAGCCGAAAATTCGTTGCAAGTCTAATAATTAGCATTCTACAATTTGTTTTCAAAAGTTTCTCAATTATGCTTCGTCTATACGGTATTATTATTAGAACTTCAGACGGACGATCGTGTAGTTCCAGTATCATGCTTGCGATTTGTTGTTTGAGACGAGCAAAGCCTTCCACTACTTACTTTTATAGTTGTTCCAACTAAACATTCGTTGATAACAAAGGTATTACATATTAATATGAATATTATTAGGTCATCCTTATCAGGCCTAACATTTTTTTATTAGCTTTTAGGATTTTTCACTACTCTATACGTAGTTTTCGATAACAATAACTTTTTTTTTTGTAAATTTGCGACTCAAAATTTGAATAAATAATTGTAAATTAAAAGGCAAAAAGTTCAATCAACTTAGTGCTGAAAATTTTAACGCACAATCCATATATATAATGTACTGCAAAAATTAACTAAGTATATTGAGATTATTTATGTAAGGTTTATTTTTTCATAAGAAACTTAAAATATTTTAATTGACGAAAGTATGTGTGTATATTTTAGACTAAAGAACGTAAAAAAAATTGTTTTTATTAATGATACTTAAATTGTATAGTTATGTCGCGCGCAACAAAATTCCCGTCAATATTCGTTCCAAGGTCGTGACACAGCGACAAGCAAATGCAGTCTTTTTGAGGAAATTGAAAAAGTTTTACAAGTCTCATAATTTCATGCCATTTACTATAAGATTATCTGTCCGCAAGCCGTTGGATCCACATGCGGTGAAGTTTTTAAAGAACTGCATCAGCGACTATTCGTCGCCACTGGTAGTTTTGTTTTCTCTTACAGAAGTTATTTACAGCCATTTATTGAAGCAAGCTTTCTGGGCACTATGCGACCAGAAGTAGGCTTACATGAATATTTTAAATTTTATTTAATTATATATATATATAAAATAATTGGTGCATCTTTTAGTGATTGTATGACTTCGGAACGATTAATAAATTGAGATTATATTTACGTAGTATATTTGTTTTATCGAGATAATGGTTCATAACTATGGCCGTATACAGAAAGAAAGCTGGTAGGCGGAGCCGATTTAACAGCGCTTATCGGCGCTGGTCTATTCTGGTAACAGTTACATAAAGCAAGCCGAATGAAGCAGAGCGAGCAAAATGTCGTACTCGTCGGACGATGAATTAGTTTTGTTAGAAAAAGTGTATTTTAAAATGCCAAAATAAGCTATACATCCTATTAATAGAGAAAGGAATCGTTTCGAAGAATACCATCATTTATTTGTAAAACAATTGAAATTTGATGATTTTATGAATTTAAAATGTTTTAACGTGGTTTAAATATACACTTGTACAGTCAACAGCAGATCAAGCCATAACACTGAGATTTGTACCGACATTATTATTTTGTAACTAGCTGTTCCCCGCGACTGCCCGCGTGTAATTTAGGGTTTTAGTTTTTTAGCGAGGAACCCTAATTATTTTTCTAAAATAAAAGTAGCCTAAGTTACTCCTTATGACATCGGCTATCTGCCAGTGAAAGTCCCGTCAAAATAGGTCCAGCCGTTTCGGAGTTTAGCCGGAACAAACGGACGGACAGACAGACAAAAATTTTAAAGTGTATTTTTGTTATAAGTACTGTTTATACTTTCATATGCATTTAGTAAAACGTAATTTTGATATTATAAATAGACAATTCAATTTTATTTATTTTTATAGAATAGATAAGAGCGATTTTAATAAGTATCTAAGTGTTACCCTTGATATGCCGTCTTCCGTACAGTCATCACGTCACTATTCATTTCTCTATTTAACAAAAATATATGCGTGTCGTAGTTGTACGTATTGTAGTACAGTTGTTCATTAATTTTAAATGGCGAGCGGCACCAGCGCTGACCGGCGCGTGTCGAAGATTGTCGGAACTTGTCGACGACGTTCGGCGTTTATCGGCGCCTGTTCATATAAATGCCTGCGCCGATTACCAGCGTGGATCGGTCCTTATATGCGCTGATAGGCTGTCAGCTTTCTTTCTATGTACGGCCTATGCTAGGATCTGATGGGTAGCATTATTGTCTAGTTATTAACAAATTCTGTATTTAAGAAATAATATGACTCTTAATCACCATTATATATTTTGGATTAGTACCAAAAAAAGTTAACAACAAATTCTGGACCTGATTGCATTGTGTTTGAATAATTATTAAAATAATAGATTGTAACACCAATTGTCAAAATGTGCTTAACAGGCAGATGTTGGTGTTCAGTTTTGAGATGTGATTAATAAAACTATACAATTTAATTATCATTTTACCATAAGTTATATTTCATAATTAATTATACAAAATAAATAGAACTATGTATATGTAATGGATACATTTTTATAACTTAAACAACTGATGAAAATAAGATATTATATAAAAATGAACAATAGTAATAAAAAATATCCAAAATTCTCACTTTTATCGTAAAAAGTATTCTGTAATGTTATTTTAAATTAAAAAAAATAAACAAAGTTTAAACATAAAATTCTATAATAGCCATTTAAAAGTGGTTACCGTACATTCCAGGCATTGGCATATTTAATGGACCTACTGGATATGGTACACTTGGCACATTTTGTGGGTAACTTGGATATGGTAAATATGGCTTTGCAAGACCATTACCATAGGAACCTTGGCTGCCAGTCCTCAGCAGTTCACTCATTTTGTCTGCTTTAAACTTTTGTAGGTGCATTTTTTTGCGGATAGGTTCAAAGTCCTCAAGAAACTTATCAACATCTATTTTCCCTGAAAGGAAGTCATGTGATATGTTTTCTGATTGTTCCTCTGACTCAGCTGCAGCTGTTTGTAATAACGCTAAAGTGGTGTCAGGAGAGATTCCTGCAGATTTTGTTTCTGAAAATAATTATCATGGTTAATTAGTTGCTATAGTTCAGATACAATGCATGCAATTTACCCACTCAGACGTCCGAGCGACCATAGTCGCCTAAAACTTTTTCCGGTTGAATGTTAGGGCGACTAGAGTGGCCTCGCTGACTTCTACACTTTAAACAACTTTTATCTATGGAAAGTTACAAAAATCTTCATGAATGTTACATAGACGTCTCTATATTAAAAAACGCGTCTATGAGTTAGAAAAAAGTCTATGCCAAGTACCAGATACCATTGAAGAAAAATAAAAAAAAAACAAGCGTTGTATCAAGTGTTGTCAGTAGAACTGTGAGTTCTGCATTTAAAATGTAAGTAATAATGTGTTTATGCCATCAAAAACATAACTTGTAAAAAAACCAAGTCTTGCAATTCAGTTCTTCCACTGTAAAAAAGTTGTGAGATCCATGTAATACCAACTTAAGAGTCCTTCTGTCTCAAGTTATTATGTAATTAGCTAACCTAACAACAACTAATAGTTACCATATCAATATTAAAAATCTTTTATGTTTTAAATAAATAGATTGACTTGGCCATCGCATGAAAACACAAGGTATCTCACAAGTAATACATATTATATTAAATTAGATTGTTTAGTGTGGTTTACAAAGTTATATATGCAGTTGGTGCTATTATATATATATATTTCTTCTTTTTAAAAAAGTTACCCCCACACTAGGATTTTCTCCTGTATCGAGGAGGCAATTTACAAACATAAATTTTGCACAAGAACAAACATCCAGACCTGAAACAATTATTTTAGACCATACAAATACTTGTTCCATGCGGGATTCGAACCCGCGACCTCCAGCGCAACAACTCATTGCTAACCCACTGCGCCATCAAATAAGTATATACTATCGTATAGGTATCATCGGTACGTCTGGAGGACATTATTATATAATTAACTAGTACTATCATGTGCTTACTTACTATATTCATCTAGAAGTTCCTGAATATGATTACAAAGCTGTTCTCCAGCTTCAGACTTTTGCTGTACTTCAGACTTTAGTTCTTCTAATTCAGGTTCTCGGGCGAGATTAAATTCTGCTAGTGATCGGTTACTGGCAATCATCATTTCTTTTTCTGTCTCCCAGTCTTTTACCTGAAATAAGAAATAAAAATATAATTTTGTTTAAATATCTTTAATTTTATATTATATTTGCTACTTTTTTGAAACACCACCGTCAGTTCCAATGTCACATCAGTAAACTAATTTCAAAATACTATTAATGGTAAATAAAAACATAACTCCTTTTTGCACTTTCCTTGTTAGTTAAAAGGCAACCCATAATATATTACCAAGAGTCGTTAACAACCTACATAACATATTTTATGGAAATCTTTCTAGTTTTTGCATTAATTGTGAGTACACCCAAAAATTCATAATGATACCGGTCCAAAAGCTGGGCACCACATTTACTAACTTATGAGATAAAAATCTAGTTTTATATATTGTTGATTGAAAATAAGTTCAAAAATAAAATTACACCTGGAGGCTTGGCACAGTGGCAACAATACCCTCAAAATTAATAAAAATGTTTAATATTAATAAAATATCATATGCTTTTACACATCTATGTTTTAATGTATATGTCACAGTCAAAAGTCATAAACGGTCAAAACCACATTTAACTGCCAAAATCAGGCAAAAATGGATAGTTAAAAGTGGTTATAACCAACATTCTTCATTAAAAGTGTTGTTGTCTGATTTAAACTTCAGACTATCGGTCAAAACTCACAATATCAGTAACAGTAGGTTAAGGTGCGGCTGGTGTGGCCCTTGGGCCACCCTAAAGCTGTGTACATTATAATGATATAAAATATAATATTGAAGAAATTTAACTTTTTACTTTCAAAAATTCAAAAGTATAAATCAAAAGTAGTTTTGACTAACATTCTTGGTCAAAACCACTTTTACACGATGTAATTTGGTCAAAATCATTATTATCCAATATTTTTTAAATTAAATGGTTTTGACCAACATCCTAAGTTAAAACTACTTTTGACTTCAAAAATCAGTTAAAAGTGGTATTAACAAACGTCCTTAGTCAAAACTACTTTTGCCTGATTTTTTGCAGTTAAAAGTGGTTTTGACCGGTTATGACTTTTGACTGTAACATATTATACATTTTATTTATAGAAAAATAATTTCTAGGCAACTCCATTGGTTATAAATACTTCCCAGGTAAGCATAAAGTTGTCAGGAAGATTATTAACATTTCACAACATACTATACAAGACTGAAGTTTAAGACACATGTTTGAATTATACTATGAAAATATTTTGACAGTCAGGTGATTTATGTACTTGCATGGGAGAGTTTCTTATCATTGAATTGCTTGCTAGAATAAGTTTATGTTTCATAAAATATATGCAGTGGTAGCTTAAGAGGATCCACTATCTCATAACATCCCATGTGTGTTGTAGGAGGCTACAGAGGGAAGTTTTTTTTTTGTATATAGGATAAGGGTGACAAACGAGCACACAGTCCACCTGATGGTAAGTGGTTGCTGCGGCCCATAGACATCTACATCTATCCTCTATTACAAATCAAAATGTAGATGTGTTGTCACCCGTGAGGACTAAGATGGAATGCCTCATTTCCAGTAAAAAGGGCCTCCGGCCACCTGCACTCACCAAGCGAAACGCAGAGGTAAACCTCTACTTCACGCTGGTTTTCTGTGAGGTCGTGGTACCACCCCGGTTCGAACCGGCCCATCCGTGTGACAGCAAAAGCTGCCGCGTGGCTCTACCACTGTAAAAGTGAAGTGAAGTGAACAAAAGATGGATAGCAGCACCTTTGAGGGTTTGGCTATAGACGTCCTTTACTTGATTTTCATTATGTTTTCAGTTAGAGTTAAGCTTGTCAGGGTTAAGCTTGAATCTTTTACACTGTTTTTGGATTTATAAAATGTGTTTTGAATTAATGAGGATAAAAATAAAAATCAAAAAAATTGCATATAACCAAAGGCAAATATGTCAATATGGTTTTTTTTAAATGAGTACACGCATAAAAAAGTTAATCGCCCAGACAATCCACATTATATTTGCTATGCAAGAGCGTAAGGGCTACACTTCCCACAGCACCGAAGCTGTTGCTAAACTAACTTTGTGTCAATATTCTTGTGTAAAAATGTGAGGATATGCTTAACACACGTAAATGAATGAAACATATATAAAATATTTACAACAATTATAACCTAAAATTACTACATGTTTGAATTACACAAGGACCAAAATTTCAAAAGAAAGAATAATTTTAAATATATTGAATAAAAACTTACTATTGGGCAAAGACATCTAAAAGGCTTAACTTTTACTAAAGTAAGGAATAACAGCATAATAGTAATATTTTTTCATTATATTGACATATTATTTATCAACACTTAATGAGATTTTTTAAATTCACACTATGTAACATAGTAATCATTTACATACATAAACACTCACGCCTGTCACCCAGAGGGGTAGGCAGAGATTATGGACTTCCATTTGGCACGATCCTGACACACCTCTCTCGCTTCTTCCACATCCATATACCTACGCATACACGCTCGTCGGTTAAAGGTACTCTTGATTTGGCCCATTTTTAATATATCGCCAATTTGGTCGATAAACTTTCGCCTAGGGCGACCCTTCCCGACTATGCCGTTCATTATTTTAAAAATTTATCATATATAAATGGGTTTGTGAATGAAAGCTTAAAAATTAAGGATGTTAAGATGTATATTAAGTTTTCTTTGTCTCAAAATCATAAAAATTACAACACATCTTAATTCTGATATTTTACTGATTTCTATCTTACCTGTTTAACGTCTTTGAGAACTGCATCAAATTTTGTGTCGTCATTGAGTATTTCTTTGAGTTCATCAGAATTTAAATGATCAAGGAAACTAATAGCTGACGAGAAGTCCGGTTGAATCATTCTGGTTTCTGGTCTTCCAATCTCGGATTCTATAACTTGATAAAAGTAAAAGACGGTCGGTAAACTGTAGTTACCGTCACAACACAACGCACCAACGCAGCTAAGAAATTATGTATGTAAGTATTAAGATTTAAACAAGCTAGCAGAGAACAAAGAAACACAAGATACCTGCTTTAATAATTAAAATTTTAGTTTTTTATAATAACAAAACATTAAACACAACCATAGATAAATATATATGTAGCAAGCTGTAGTAGCAAGCTAAACAACACTGCAGTAACGCGTAGTGTTTCTATATCACAGAACACTAATACCCTTAGGCGGGTTCTATATAGTTTGTGACTGCAGTTCAATATCACAGAGTACTTTTTTATATAGGTTCAAAATCTATGAGTATTGAGTTGAGTAATGAGTTGGTATTGAGCATAGATAAATAAATATGTAGCTTTGTAGCAACATGAAGTTATAGATAAAGATGGAGGCCACACTTTAGGCTTGGGCAAAAAATATCGATATATCGATATTTATTTTAGAGTATCAAATTCGTATCAATTTCGATATATTTTAAAATGTTGTATCGTTTTTTTCTTCGTCCAACCGTCAGTAAATAAAATTTTTGACCTTATCTTTACATCATGCAAATGTTGACGATATATCGATATTTATCACGCGATATATATCGATACTGTTTAAAAATATAGATTCTATATATATATCGATATATTTTTTCCCTTGCCCATCCCTACCACACTTGGAACAACAGATTGAGTCAAATACCAACGTATCTTTATCTCACTCTCTGTGGTCTGACTTCTCTTTTTAATGTGGAATACAGTCTTGCTATGTTTTTATTTAAATCTCGCGGGAAATTCTTAGAAATAGTTTCCACACTAACCAAATCAGAAGTTAAACTCTGTAAAATAATGTATCAATAAATAAATAGTTGAACTACGATTAGTTACTTTAAAAATTCCAAAATTGAAGGTCTCGTATGCACTATTGGGTTAACGAATCAGTGAATTACAATCCCATTTCCTAAGGGTTCGGTAATGTGGCAACATTAGCCCTATATGTCATCATAAATTAGACAAATATGGCGGTTGTTTACTTAGCAATTCACAGCGTCATTTGAGATATTTAAAGTTAATTATTGTTATAATTCAAGAAATGGTACAAACTTGTGTAGTACGTGGTTGCGGCAGTAGTTGGTGTCCAGGATGTGATATAAGATTTCACACGTAAGTGTTTAAATAGTGACTTTTGGCATTGAATACTTGTAAACATACTTTTTTGTATTTTCACTTAATTTTTTGCTGAAACGTTTTATCAGCGTTTTAAACATATTAGTAAATTATAACTTTGTCAAAATCAAATAGTTTTACATTGAATGTAATTTAGTTTGAACAATTTTATTGTTTTTGTTTAAAAGAAATCGCATTGAAGTAGTGTGACCATATTAACGCTGTATCTAAGACTTTCCGTGTGACCTTAACTAATTATATGTACATGTTTCTTATTATGTTACCGGAAATGCATGAAATTTAAGAATTATGTACAATTCCTATATATTCTATATAATGACGGATTTCATAGATTTCATAATATTAAATTAAAAATTAGTAACATAATATACTCTTTTGGCAGACAATTTATTTTTATTTAGTTTTTGTTTCTCATTATTCTGATACTTTAATAAAGTTTACAATAGTTATGTATTTAGAAATGTAGTAGTTTAAATGTATGAAATGAAGCAACATTTTGTAAAATATGTTATTATTTGCAGACAACAAGTGCATTACATGAAGAGTCTATTGTGCATATAGCTGCTCTCCCTGTACCAAGCACTGGTTCTGGCATTTATGAAAGTAGTTCTGCACTTAAGGAAACAGAAGTGAAATATACTGGCTGTTATATTGAAGACCAAACTAGTAAAAAACAATGTCAAAAAATTCTTGAAAATTTATGCAATCTTAACAAATTACCTGTAAGTTTCCTTTTCCTTTATTACTAAATACATACCTTTTATTTGTATTTATTATGACATTAATATTACGTTATATAATGTATTATATAGCTTAAAACACATACATATTTAAACTCTTTAGTGCCAATCGTCGTGTGGTAACCGTCACTACGACACTAAGCACGAAGCTTCTTGTTTGATGCTGCATTTGTTTTTTAAAATAATTGTTCAGAAATAGATTTAGTCTGTCTGAACAATAAATCAGGTATATTTTGCCCAATTCATTGATCACCCGGGGTGTTATAATAAATTTTAATTTTATATTTCGTTCGTACCGTTTAGGTATTGTATACAATAACCAGAAAATACATTATCGAAATGGTAATAATAAAATATTCTCTGATATATTTCATATTCCACATTTTCTAAATAGGCTCGGCATTATATAGCTTGTAACGGAAATGGGTGGTCATATTTTAGATACCGGTTCTGCCTATGGAAATGAAAACCTTTCTTCATAAAACCAATTTCCCAAAAAAATTGTACAAAAATATATAATATATATAGACTAGGTCTTAGTAGTAAACAGAGATGTAGATGTTTATAAATAAACTACTTAATGTAGTGCAACTACTTATAGCGATATCCTGGGAAAAATAAAATAAAGGTTACCTACTTAGAAAGAGAGGGTCTGCCCACAGAGAGCGAGATAGTAATACATAGGTTAAGCTTCAAGTAGGTATTCGGAGTGTGGTCTCTATCTTTATCTATAACTTCATGTGTAGTATGGAGTGTAGAGTAGAAGGAGGACCATCTCTGTATATGAAAAGTGTCCCTAAAAACGTGTCCAATAAGGGTGGCGCTGCAGTAGCATAGGATAAATTAAAAAAGAAGCGCCAAAAGTATTTAGAATAAGATGGAGAAATAAATAAGGACCGATCAATCCGCTTGGTTTTGTACTACGTAAATAGTTGAGATTTTGTATATTGGCGTTTTACTAACTATTCTAGTCATGAAATACTTGAATTCAGCTGACTTCACTCCGTTCATAACAGCTATCTTCATATCGTAGTTTTTCAGACGCCAGCGCTATTGTGGTAGGTTTTGGAACCTCTATTTACAGTAAATAGTAGGACACTTTTTCAACCTTCGCTCCTTATAAGATGGTTCTCCTTCTACTCTACACTCCATAATGTGTAGCAAGCTGGTATTGAGTATTTAATAAAAGTACTCTGTGGCTCTATGCTATAAATATTTTTTATTAATAATTTTGCCTTGGATGCTTGTTTTTTAAGCCCCATCTTCATTTATCTCAGATAAAACTTAAAGTAGAAACAGAATTTCATATATTTATGTCATCATTTGTCACTTCTATAAAGGGAAATGCGTTGAAGATGTGAGATGACATTATGATGGTGAATTATTATTATTATTCAAAGACATTTAAGTGGTAGTACTAAAAGACCAGGCATCAGCAACAAAATAGTCACCTCTTACTTATGTCCTATAGGATATATTTCCGATTTGTGTCATATAGTGTTAGTAACATCGTCAAAAGCTCAAAACGCCTTTCCTAAATTAAAAAAAATATATTTTTAAAGAAAATATGCCCGATACTGCATTAAGGTATTGTAAGTCCCGATATGTAGCAAATACTGAGTGTGATTTCGATTTATTATCGCAAGTATAATGTATATTTACCCCATAATTATTAAATTTTATTATTTCTGGTAGATTGTTCTAGAACATTTATCATCATTGTAATAAGCGCTCACACCAAATGAGTGAGTGATTGACAACGTTTATCGATTGGTGTTATCGATAAAAAATATTATACAGGGATGCAGATTTACTCATCTACAGTATCTAAAGTGGTGAAATAGTAAACGATAAAGAAATGGGGTGGGCCTATGTCGACACACATGGCCGTTGGTTTTAACGTGAAACATCTAAGTCAGCCAGTACAACCGATCAACAAGATAGTCTTCTTTTTAACATTTTAATATAATTCTACAACATGAGGAGAATTGCAGATACATTGCCGTCCTTTTGGTTCCTAATTCCTATCGTTCCATAAAAATCGCCGATGGTAAACGATTCCTTAGAAAACTCCTATTAAATCGCACGGTAGTGGACCGCCAATTATCCAAATGATGTGGATGGTAGCGTAAGTTTTATCGCGATGTGTATTGGTTAAATATGGTGACTGGAATTAATCAGAACAATTCCTCAGAGCACTCCCCGTCGTAAATACCATAGAAAATGCAACGAGATGCAACATCTCTACGCAGCGCCAGTGAATCCAGGCAATCAAAAACAACTCAGTCGTCGACATCGAGCCGCTCTGTTCTCTATGCAGTCAAGTGGAAGGAGCTCGCCCTGGGGAGCCCCGGCCCAGAGATGAGAACAATATTCCATGTGAGGCCGAACCTGCGCTTGTAAAGTTGCAAACAGTGCGCATGTAATACTGTCCCGCTCTACTAAGTACACCAAGCTTTTTAGAAGCCAATTTAGCTTTCTATTCCAAGTGACCATGCTACTGCAGGTCATTCAATATGTCGACGCCGAAGATTCCGCCTTTGGCTGAGGCAACAAAGGAAGTGCTCTGAAATTGAGGAGATACGACAAAGGTGTTCTTTTTAGTGCTAAACGCGCAAACCTGTGAATTTGTGAAATAATTTATCGTGTAACGATTTTTAAATTCAGTGCTTTCCTAAAACATGTTAGATTTAAAGTGTATTTTTGTAAAGAAACGCATTTGAATAACATGATGGTGCTCTTATTACATTTGACGTTTCGCGATGTGCCTTCGAAGCCGACCGACAAATTATATCTTATTATTATAGCGTCTAATGGACCAAGTGAGGTCATCCAAGATACCACCAATGTGACTACTGTTTGAATTAATTCTCAGAACAATTCATTAATGACGTTATTCATGACTTATAAAGTTTAAATGATTTTTTGGTGTGATAAGAGTCATAATAAATAGATTTGTACAATAAAAAAGCATGCATATTCCCTATTATTATATCGTAAAATATTACAAACTAAGTAACCTTCAACAACATTATCGATACTTTGATGTCGAAACGGTAACATTCCTAAAACGGGTTTTCATCTTACATTTATTAGCATCACCTACTGAGGAATAGCTGAAATGTTTTCCTAATAAATATTCAGCGTAGTTTTGCTGTTTACCTAGAGAGCGTCACACACGTGCGAGCTCAACATTTTTGTATGCAAATGTTGATAATGTCTGCTGTATAGTATACTTATATATTTAAGTCTCTTTGTTATTATTAATAAATAATAATTAAATTCATTATAAAGCCATTTAAAAATATCATAAATATAATATTTTAAACAATTAAATTCCGTTATTAAGGATTAAGTTATAATACTTTCATTTGAGTAATAAGTATTATAGTATAGTAAAGGTATAATATTGTTTTTAAATTTATTAAGACTGTTTTAAATGAAAATGTATTAAATAATAGAATGTTCAAAATGTATTAAATAATAGAAATACAAGTCGATTACATTACAATAATAAAGATAAAGAACAGTTGAAATATTATTGAAAAATGTGTCAAAAATTTTCTGTGCTTTTTTTAATGTTATATTTATTTTATAAAATAATAGACAAAACATTGAGCAAAAAATGCAATTATGTGCTCTTGTCGTTTTTTTCGTCGTCAAAACGTCCAGTAACAAAATTTTGGCCCTTAACCTACTCCATCACGCAAATAAGACGATATATCGATATTTATCACGCGATGTATATTTATACTGTTTAAAAATATTGTTACGATAAATATTGATATATTTTTTCACTTGCCCATCCCTATGACTGAGTAAGGGCGTAAAATCAGTGCAGTTAGTTTCCTCGTGTCATTAATATCATGTATTTATAATGCATTGTTTTTATTTTGTTTTAAGTGTTTCTGAACCCACCGTCACCCAGAAACTCAAGAGGGTAATATAGCAGCAGCTTCGTGTTTTAAAATTGTGAAAAATTATTATTTACATGCCTATATTGGTTTCAGGAGTTTCTGAAAGCACAATTCGGCGCATAGTGGACGAAGGTATGAAGAATGGAGGTAAATTCCTCACGCCTGGAAAACACAGGCATGGCCGACCTAAGAAACAGATTGATGATTTCGATCTACTACGCGTTCATTTCGAGTTTGCCGTCGTCGACCGTTACGACGTCACAGCTGACGGTACCGTAGACGAAAAAAGTCATGCTTATGTTTTTGAACTCTTTGTGGCTATTTTCCTTTTTCTCGGTGACGTCAATTTTATTTCTTGTGTACTTGAAGTACTGGGCTCAGGTGAGCTCGTTTTAATTTTTTTTGCTTCAGTCTTTATATTCCTTAAAGTACGTTCAGATATACCAGTGGCGGCCGCAGTTCTCTTGATAACGTTATCAAATAATTTTAATAGCGCCTGGTACTTCTTTTCATTTTCCAACAAATTAATTTCTATTTCCGACGGTGCATCGGGCTGAGTGGGCAGTGTGCTGGCACAAGTATCACGTGAGTTTTCATTTTTCAACCTTTTCTTGTTTAAAGAATGTCATTATCTTATATAATAAATTGCGTTCGCCACTGTGCAAGACCTTTCCTCTTTTACTCATTATAACAAAACAAATTAACGAATATCAACAGAAACAAAAACAATCAACAGTAACAAAAACAACAGCAAAAACAGTAACAAACTAGAGAACGTACGGGAGCATAAAAAACGGACGTAAGTACACTTCGACGTTGCTATCGGTACTAAAAGGGCGACGCTTGAGGCGCGGAATGAGGGGGCGCGGCGGGAGGTAACGGCATTCTTGAAGTGAACGACTAGTATGTTGCATTCGTCAAAAAGTTCATTTTTTCTACACAGTGTAGAAAGAAGTGCCTACACTAAGAAAACTATTGGCAGTGGTGACGGAAGAATAAAATTTTGATGGCAGCCATGAATTTTTAAGACAAGTTTAATTTCTATTGGCTTTAAATTTAAGAAATGCTAAGCAAACAGACTGGCTCTCATAGAAAAACCAGTTATTGCTTCAAAATATGAGTATTATTTAAAGCACATCCTTGAAAACAGAAGATTGCCCAAGGAACTCCCAAAAAAACATTATTTATTTGGACGACAGCTATATACACGAGTCCTACAATGTAACTAAATGTTGGCAGTCTATTAATATTTTTGGTGTCCAACAAGATGTATCTAAAGGGAAAAGGTGGATAATTGTGCATTCTGGATAAGTGAAAATGGTTTTGTGCTTAATGCACTATTAATATTTACTGATAAAAACAAGCAAGATGATTACCATTCTGAGATGCACGCCCATAATTTTAAAAATGGGTAACTGAAAATTTAGTGCCCAATATAACTAACTGAGCCATCAATAATTGTGATGGATAATGCACCATACCACTCCATTATAACAAACAAGGTATTATAATATTTATTTCTTATAATTTATTTTTGGTTTACATTATTACTTATCTCATATCATCATAAAATGTTGCAACTGATAATCGACTATTAAGTTTTTTTTTGCCCCAGGCACCTACATCTACATCAATAGTTGATGAAATCAAATTGTGGCTACTGGAAGATATTCCATTTGATGAAACGTTGCACAAACCATCATTATTGATGCTTGTTAAAAAACATAAACCTGAACCTGTGTAGTATATCGATGAACTCCTAGGGGAATACATGGACGTATAGTGGTAAGACTACCAATCTATCACTGTGCGGTAGCGAAGCCTCCATAGAAGCTGAGAAACCAGGCTTGCCCTATCAAACTGCTCGATCAATAAATATCAACTAATAAAATAACTCGTAAACTATTTCAAACTAATGATTTGTATTTATACGAACACTAAAAATTGAATAAATTATTTTTTACGGATTTTATAGCGTTTAATTTACTATTTTAATTCCCGACGTTTCGGGTGCTTTACAGTAACCCATGGCCACTTGGGTTGCTGTAAAGCATCCGAAACGTCGGGAATTTTTATTCAATGTTTCAGACTATTTCAAATTTCCCGCGCGCTCCTCTGTTCTACACAGGTCATGACCTCGTAGCCTTACTATGTAACGTCAACACTTGGCAGATTCCTTTACTGCGCGGTACTGCCGTCATAAAAAAGGAGTTGAGTTGAGTGATTAGTCGTCTCACTCGCACGCGTGGGCTTTTTACCAGGCTTTCGAAAAGACGATCGCTCCCTTTCTAACCTGTGGCAAAATGTTCTATAATGAAATAGAACGTGCAGCAACAATCGTGACTTTAATGGCAGCCATACACGATCAAGTCTACCGTCAAGTTTGCAGCGCGCTTGAAGCGGCGTCCGGTAAACTTGACGGTGTATGGCTATGGGTGTGCATGACAAGTCTACTTGAAGCAAAAATTGAATTTCGATTCTGCCGACTTGATCAAGCTTGCAGCGTCATGTAAACTTGAACGTGTGTATGAGCGGTCAAGTATGCATGACGTTAGTCGGCTGCGGCAAGCAAAGACGCGCGCCAACGCGCGCACGCGGTATATAGTAGAATACACCGAAGTGTTATGCAATGTATAAATATATTTTTTTATTTCGTTAAAAAAACGTTACCTACACACTAAGATTTTCTATTGTATCGTGGAGGCAGTTAACAAACATAAATTGCACGAGGACAAATATCTACACATATAAAAATACAAATATTTGTTCCGTGCGGGATTCGAACCCGTGTCCCCAGCGTTGCAACTCATTGCTAAGCCAAAACTTTATTGTTCAATGTGAGGAAGGTTAATATGCAACATCGAGGAAAATTAATATTATAACAACGTGAACGTCTTTGAAACTCACATAATTTACCTACTTACCATTTTAACCTACTTTAAAAAAGGATTAGCTACTCAATTCGACTGTTTTTTTTTAATCTGTGTAACCTCAGAACTTTTTTCTAGGTGAATCGATTCTGATGATTCTATTTTATTAGAAAGCTGGTGCTTATAATTTAAACATCACATATAAATTTGATCAAGATCTGACTAGTACTTTTGGAATTATCCGTAATATTGCGTATTCGTATTGAAGTCGGTTGTACGAAAATTTTAATTTCATTAATTGTCTCTCTTCCTCTCTTTTAAAAAAACGTTACTTCCACACTAGCATTTTCTTCTGTATCGCAGGTACAGTTTACATACTTAGAACAGACCCAGAACAATTATTTGTAGGTCTTACAAATACTTGTTACGTCCGGGATTCGAACCCGCGGCTCTTAGCGCTGCAACTCATTACTAAGCCACTGCGCCACGGAGCCGTCACTTGTCTGTTTCACATTTTTTGCTATTTACTATTGAGATAATATTTTTCGTTTCATTAACCACTTTTTGCAAAGTAATTGCGAGCAATAAGCCTTGTATGGCTAACGCATCGTCGTCCGTCACTAGTGACGCCATGGTTTCAACTGATGCGGCATCATGCAAACTTGATGGCGAACTTGAACGTGTGTGGCCTATATGGATGCACTGCAAACTTGACGCCGCTTCAAGCGCGCTGCAAACTTGACGGTAAACTTGATCGTGTATGGCATCCATAAGTTAACACATAGGTAGGGCTAGTGCCGATTAATCATATTAATTTTGATAGGTTAAAATAAGTCGTAAATAGAAAAAAAATTTTTTTTCAAACAAAATTTATAATAAAAAAGTAACTAAAATTGGGATCACCCTTGTAAAAATTCATTCATGAAATTACTTACCTAGCTGTCTTACGTTAACTCCGAGCGCCAACGCGTCGCTTCGCGAATTGGCAACCGCGCAACGCGTCTTGTACCAACAGCGGAGGTGTTTAATCAAACACTTATCATAAAACACTCTCTTGTTACTATTAGTTATAATTGTCATCACTAATCACTGCTTTAATACAAAGAGCTAAATGACGTTACATGTTATCCCGCACATTTGAAAATAAATTGTCACTTATTGCCATTTCCCTCAATTTCTCAAATGCATTTATTATTCGATACCGATTTCACCGAATTCACGTTCACCGCGTACACATCGTCTTTGATGCACCCCCCAGAAAAAAAAATGAGTTGCGTGAGGTCTGGTGATCTTGTTGGCCATCTACGAGGTCTAAATCTACCAATCGATTGTGCACCAAACGTGTCATTTAGCTACTGCCTGGCTGTTGTTACAAAATGTACTGGCGTGCTATCTAATTGGTACCACATTCGTTGATATCGATGAACGTTTAGGTTGTTTGTGTATTCCGACACCGTATCATTTAGTAGATTAACAAACCTTTCTCCGTTCAAAGCCTCATTAATGAATACGGGTCCGATGATGTTGTCACCGTGAATAGCTGCCCAAACATTTATCGAAAATCTGTACTGATGGGCTGACTCCTGCCAAACGCACTGACAATAATTCACTTTCATTAATTTATCACGCGATAGCAGTGTGTATTTTTCTAAACTTGAATGGGTGCCACTTTTCGCGCGTTAATATCCTATGGATGGTTCAGTGGTGGACTTGAATATGCCTAGCGCTCTGGCGGAGGCTAGTTTTGGGTTGGTCTTCGAAATATTGTATCACATTTTCAGTTAACTGAATTGGGTTTTGTCGTGTAGGCGGTCGATCAGTTAGTTGAGACCTAGGATCCACTGGCCGGTTTTCACGGATGCGCTGAAGAGCTCCTAAGGACATATCGCGAGATATATGGCCATTTAAGACTATTCTTAAATGGCCATATATCTCGCGATATGTCCTTATCGCAAGGGCGGCATTTTGACGACATTCTCCGTAAATTAGGACCATGTCCGCATATTCAGCTGCTGTGTAGTTCGGACGTGTATTTGCCATTACGATCACAAGTTTACACAAGCACTAATAACACAAATAAAAAACGTCCGTATCGCAAGAGATGTAAACATACCTACTAGATTAGAAACCGAAAACAAAACGTTTTTAAAAGGGAACGTTTTTTTTAAAAGGGAAATAAAGCGCTTCTATCATAGTACCATAATCTAATTACTATTATAATTATACAAAAATTAATAAATAAAACAATAGGTAAGCGTCTTTTTTGCGGAAAAGTTCACAAAAATATTAGTCGACGTAATTACGCACACTACTGGAAGAAGTGTGTCAAGGACACGGATTCGGCAAGTACTAAAAAACCAAAAAAGAATTCGATTTCGGTGTAGCGGGGTGGGAGGATGCGCGTCGCTTGCGCCGTCAACGTGATGTCTCTTTCCTTCAATAGTATTGCTTATTCGTTTTAATTTCAATAATGCAATGTTATGATCCGTGACCCCAGCAAATGACCGCTGCGCGACAGTTCTCTAATTACAGGCTGCTCTAAGATGCTATTCTCTAAAATTTTAAATAAATCCGTAAATAATAACTTTTAATAGAAATATAATTTCTTCATGAAAAGAAACTACGATTGCTCATATAGCAATTAGTATTCAGCCTTAAGCTGAGCTTTTGGTGTGAAGTTGAGCGCGGGGCACTCGGTTGATACGTTTGCAACTTCACATTTCAATGTTTACTCTGTGTGTTTACTTAAGCGAATGAATATTGCGAAGTGAAAATTTAGTGAAAATGGAGGATTCTTATATATTTCTTTTTCTCTGATTGTTTGCATGTTTTTTTTTTACTTTTTACAGTATCTATAATACAATATTACGCTATTTCTTGTAAAATTGCAAACTCTTGATAGATTAGGTATAAACCTTAGTAGTTTCTTATATGCTATCGCAATAAATATTTGTAATGCTTGTTCATGTGATAAATAAACGAAAAAAAAAATAGTGTTCCTTGTGATCAATTAAAGCGTGTTAAAGTGCCAATCGGCGAGCAAAAAGTAAAATCTTTATACTTTGTTCGGAAAAAACAGCTCATATCCACATAAACAGTTATTGGTACAATTAAAACGTTCACCAACATTTTACGCGGACGTAATCAAATCTTTCCTTAAGAAGGAGAGACGATTCGATTTAGAATATAAATAATTAGTTTTTTGATTTTGTACATAGTTTGTTTGTACTTTGTTCATACTTTTCTTTTGTTTGTGTATTGTATTTTATGTAAATATCTTTTTCTTTCGCTCAAGCAAGTTCAAGCGGCTTTTTTCAAAGCTACCGAAGGTATGCAATTGCTGATATGTCATACAATATATCTAGCAGTAGTATGCCTTCTGTGTGCTTTATTAAACACGTCCTCGACAGCACTGAATATGAAACTGAAGAGTGAAGACAGATCAAGATGGTGTATTTTTATAAAACTGCTAAAAACAACAAAACCATATCTTGGGCTTGCCGTAGTTTGGAGCCCTAGCTTCGCCACTGTCATTGTGATCTGAACCCCTTTGAATTAGTTTGGGCAATGGTAAAAAAGTGAATCGCACAAAAGAATGTTTGTGGTCAATATGTTGTGAACTTGGCTACAGAAACATTTCAGTCAGTAACTCAACAACAATGGAAAAATTGTATTGACCATGTAATCAACATAGAAAATGAATATTTTGCCCGTGGAGGATCTCTGTATAATGATATAGACAAACTTGTCATCTCAGTAAGCGATGATAATTCCTGTGAATCTGAAATCAGAAATGGACCAATTTAATTACGCAGGAGCTTCAGGCAACATTTCGGGAGTTGAATACCTCGACTCACATTATTTGGACTCAGATTAATAATCAAAATATAATAACCATGTATCAAATTATCTCAATTATTAAGTATGCGAATTTGGCTAATTACTTTTGCTGGGATTTACAAGGTTTAAAGGTTACTGTTTAGGCCCAAAAAAGGTAATTTGTACGCCATCCAATCACGTTCGCTTTCGAGAATCGCCCGATGGTACCAGGTGTCACGCGAGTCGCGGTGGGGGGCGGTGGTATGCCGGCTC